TACAATAACCCTGCAGCAACAGCAGTGCAGGGGTATTTGTATAATTCTATGTAATGCTGTGGTTTAACGGTGTCGTGACGTAATGCCACTTGCAGATTTGTCTTGAATGTGTTCAGTGGAGCAAGTTTCCTGTTTGAAAGCTCCTGGGTGCAGATGTGCCGGCGCATCGGCACYTCTGCCTTGTTGTCACACACAAAGTTTGAGTTTAAACAATGCTCTCCCTTCACCGCTGCACTTTTCTGTCTTTCTGCAACAGGCCTGCCTCGAGTCCGGTGCCAAACCTGACGACGCTGGCCAAATGCAACTGGGATCAAATGGCTAAAGAACCGCAGGAGCTTCTTCCAAATGTCACAGTTGTTTGAAGCTGGCAGCTCAATGCTCTCAGCTTGTGCTGCCAACACAAAGGCGCTGAAAGGACCAGATGTGTTTATATACCTTACTAATAAAAGATGTTTAACCGAGCTGGAGTAAATTTACCGGACTGTAAACTTAAATGCCATAATGTTTTTTTTTTGTTTTTGTTTTTTTTATGAATGAAACTGCAGCGTCCTGCAAACATTGGAGTTGGAAGAAGCAGCATCTAATATTTAKTCCAGATTGAAGCTCCAGTGGAGCAGCAGACTCTTTAATATAAAAAACTAAACTTGTGTTGTGAAGTGGACATTAGGAGTGTAACCTGTAACAAACACTGACCTGCTCGATCCGGTCGTATTCTGCATCTTGTTTCTCCAKCTTCACCTGGGGGTTCTTCTCCTCCTCCCCGGGCTCCCGCTTGGGGACCTTGTCCTTCAGTACAGTGTCGTCCTTATCCAGTAGATAGCGCAGCAGTGCATTGTCCTTCTTTTTGGGGCTCAACGGCTCCTTGGGAGTGAGTTCGGCCCCAGCAGCGGTGCCTCCAGCACCCTGCGACTGGTCCTGGCCCAGTTCTTTGCCCGTAGCCTCGGCAGTGAGCTTGGCCAGGTCTACGGGGGACGTGCTGTTCTGGAGCAGCTGGTGGAGGATTTTGTGTTTTTCTTTGAAGAACGTGGCGTGAGTGCTCCCCGCTATGTGACCGCCTCGGACCCCCGCGGTGGCCTGCTCCTTTCCCTCCCCCCCGGCGCCGGGGGACAGGGGTGTCTCCAGAGGTTCTGGCTTGGTGGTGAGCAGCTGCAGCAGCTTGGTGTGGCCCTTGTTGTCGTGCAGGCGGCTGTGAGCGTCGTGGCCCTCGGGGCCCCCCTCCCTCTCCTCTTTGGGCTCCAGCAGACCGCCGTCACTCTGGACCTGGCCGTGCCCCTGGCTCACCTCTGCGTGGGGTCCGAAGTCTCCTGCTCCACCGGTTACACTGCTGCTTCCACCGAGTTTTGGCATCAGGTGGGTGTTTACTGACCCCGGCGTGAGCCCGACCGGGGAACCTAACTTCTGGTCCGGTGAGTTTAGCGTGTGGGGGGGCCCGTGCCCCACCCCGTGGCACTCACTCAGGGCCTGTAGAGCTGACAGCGAACTGCTAGTGTAGCTGTTAGGATGAGKGCTACTGCTGCTACCGCCTGCACTGCCAGGCCCCCCTCCACACATGGAGACCGGGGAGGGTGCTACACGAGGGCTGCCWGCCCCCACAGGACTGCCGCGGTGCCGGGGTGACAGCATAGAGTTCTGCTGAGGTGGATGGGGGCCCCCGGCCGGGCTGGGGCTAGCTCGGGAAGGGCTGTTCATCCTCCAGTTTGGGCCCTGCTGTGGCGGTTGCATTCCCCCGGTGTAGTTGTGTGGCGGGGGGCAGCCGAAGCGGTAGCCTTGCATGTGGCCCCCCATAGCGGCTGGCTCTCTGGGACCAGCTGGGCCGGGCGGGGAGAAAGGTGTGCTGTTGCTGCTGATAGTAGTGTCTTGGCCCTGAGGTCCTGAACCTGGCACYCTCCCCGGGGTGGGTGGAGTCATGGAGGGGGTGGAGGAGTTCATGGGTCTGGGGGTCATCCCTGTTTCCTGGTTGCCAGGACCCACATCCTGACCCATTCCACAGACCGGCTCCCTGAACAAACAAATACAAAATCCTTTTAATAACTGGTTTTTAGGTTCATTTTTTTCTCAGACGTGCAGATGAGAAAAGAACAATAATGCTGATCTTTTAAAAATATATCTATTTTTTATTGTTCTGTTAAGTGTGTGTGTGTGTGTGTGTGTGTGTGTGTGTGT